CGTACCCACCACGCGCCATACCCGAGGGCCGAGCGCTGGGCATTTCTCCATGGAACACACCCTCCCTTCCCTCCCACCCAGTGCCAGCCCCCAGCACCATCCGGCCAGCGCGGCTTGGGCCAGTGCCAGCTCCTCGGCCGGGCTCACCTTCACCCATGGGCACACAGGTGGGAGAGGACGGTGTCGTTTAAGAGGTCCAAGGAGATGGAGCCTCCTTGGAGCCCCAAAGGGGACAGACGGTCGGACGGGAGGCTTGCCTCGTCCCCCCCTGCCTCCAGCTCGACACAAAGTGCTTCCAAGGGCAACCCCAGCGCATCCAAATGAACCCAGTGACGGGTTTGGATCTAAGCTACGTGCCAGCCTCCTGTTAAACCACGAGCAAACCACCCAAAGACACACATCGACACGTGGGCAAAGCCCACGGAGCTGCGTCCTGCGCCGGGAAGAGGGGCATGGAGGGAGCACGGGGCCCTTCAGGGCCACCATCCCGCTCCCCCTCCGCCAGCCCAATCCCCAACACCCCTCTCCACCCATCCAGGCTTCCCCCTCCTTGCTGGGCTTTTTTTTTTTTTTTTTTTTTCCCCTTGGGAACGAAGGCTGGAGAGTGGAAGTGGCACATGCACGCGCACGCAGACCCGCGCCGGCACGCATCGCTTCCGTTCCCGACGGCAGAGGGTACGATGCCATCCTCTGCCCCCACCCCACCCCGGTGAAAAGTTTCCTACATTTATACATTGTTTAAGACACGCCGATATATAAATTACTGTCTCTGTATATACTGGGTATGGGCAGCGGTGCCAGTCCATGCCCAAGGGCACCGGTGGGGCTCCTGCTCATTTCCCTCTGTCCTCTGTGTAGTGCTGGAAGCGTGTGAAGCTCATGAAGACCTGCTCCAGCGAGATCTGGCTCACCGAGTAGTCTTCCAAGCGATACTTCTCTTTGGCTTTCTCCAGGGCCCCGAAGACCTGGAAGGGACGGCACAGTGTCACGACATGTCTCCCGGCATGTCGCGACAGAGAGAGCAGAGGGGGGGTTTGTCCTCCCAGGAGACCCCGGGGAAAGGAATCCTGCCCCAGTGGGAGGGTGGGGGCAAGGCAGGAGCTGGATTATTTAGTAGAGTACCTGACCCCATTAAAAATACATGTTTTATACGTGTGATACATGTACATGTGTGATACACATGTGTGATACATGTACACGTGTGATACATATATGCATGATGCATGTACATGTGTGATACATGTGATACATGCACATGTGTGATACATATGTGATACATGCACATGTGATACATATGTGTGATACATACACGTGTGATACATGTACCTGTGAGATACATATATGTGTGATACATATATGTGTGATACATATAGATGACATATAGATGTATGACACACATATAGATGTATGACATAGATAACACATACAGATGTATGACATATAGGTGACACAGATGCTACACATATATGATACATATATATGAGATAAATATGACACACACGACACACATGACACATACACATATACATAGGATACATACAATACACATATGATAGGTATATATGATATGTATATATGAGATACATATACATGATACATATATGAAATACACATATATGATAAATACGTATGATAAATATATATATGATACATGTATAGGGTACACATATATAGGATACGTGTCTATATAGAAGATACATATATACATACATATATAAAAAATAACATTTTTATATGTATGTTTTTTACTATATATCCCTGGGCTGGGATCCCAGCAAAAGGTTTCTGTTTCATGTATTTTTTTATATATATATATATATGTATAGACACATCTGTGTACCCGTGCCGTGTTCCCAGCAGGAAGAAGCAGGGTGGGAA